TTATTATCTTGTGACACTCTCCATGAATAAATAATAAATTTAGAATGTCAGCATTTGAATAAATGTTAACGTTTTCCACTATTTAAGAATACATAATACTTAAATAAACATTCACTATATGTGTTAAATTGAGAACAATAAACTGGTGACAGATTAGGTGGTTGTTTTGAAATTCCACTAAATATTTCACAGCCATCCTTGCAAGAAATTCGATATCCGTTATCTGTACGAAAAACAATAAATACCTTAAAAATCAGAAGATATAGTATAGGGAACCATTATACCATTCGAAAGAGAACAGAATAATTGTTCATCAGGTTGCGCAAAAATATACATTTAAATAAAATAAGTTAAAATAGTTTAAAGATGACTAAATCAACATTAAATTTCTACCACCCTGTATGAAATTAAGTCATTTTGAAATTATGACAGGGAAGCTTAGAGTTTTAGTTATGTCCCCTATAAATTTTATCGCTCTAACTTTGTTATTGTAAAATATGCATCTTTTTGAATTAGGCAATGCTTTTTTAATTTTTTTTGAAAATAATTAAGTATATCAAAAACGATTATTTTTAAGAATAGGACACCATTATGAAAGTTCACCTAAAAATTGACGTAGAATCCAAAATTGTCATAATATACAGGGTGTTCCATTTAAAATAACCGGTATAACCGGAAGCGTTAGGTGGACGCCATTACTTTAGTTGAGAACGGCATGTTCAAAAACACTATTGCCCAAATTTTCAAAATTAAAATCGAAGTAGTCTCTGAAAATGTCTTGTCACCGTGAGACACCCTGTATAGTGTGTTTTTTGGGGTTTGGTAACAATTTCCTGAAACAGATAGAACAATGTTCTACTCTACACAAAACTAAAAGATATCATTCCTTTCAGGAATGAAATTAACCACAAATTAAGATATGATAGGACGACATAACCTAATTAAATTCTTCCTTGTTATAATTTGATGTATTGATGTGTGTTATTTGGTATTATGGTGAAGTACATGTATTTTATAAGTTTCCGAGAAAATGTGTTACATAAATTCCTTATATAGTTTTTATCACAGCTATACAATAGAGTTTCTAAAAATAGTAAATCGGAGAATACTCGGCACTATATTCGTTTGATGAAATGTCGTCTGGAAAATAGATAAAAAAGTTGTTTCTTATATACCAACCGCTGGCACGTAGTGTTCCAACAAAGAAAATAAAATATTTCTGTGTAATATTTTTTGCCACGTTCGAATAAAAGTAAGATATTTTAGACATGCCGTTGGGTAGAGGTATCATTCGTTTCTCGTTATATTAGTGTATTGTCAATTCATACGTATGACTTGAAAAACTAATTGTTGCTGTGAAATTAAAACAATCCTAATAGACCACAAGTCCATCGGAAATTTTCAAGGGTTCATTTGACCCAGCATGAATTACTTATAAATCAATACTACCACATATAACAATAACTTTAGAAACTATGCCGTCAATTCTCGTTGGTACAGGTGAGTACACAGGTAAGATAAACCTCTCCACTAAGGGGGGTGTGGTTTTCGGCAAAACATTTTTGTACGGCATTTCTAAATTATATAGGTTATACAAAAAAAGAGAACCTCGACCTAATACCGTACAAAAATAGCAATACCGAATGCCAGGAAAATTTTTGATTTTCTGAAAATTTTGGCCCGGTTTTTGGTGATTTACTACACTACGCCATTTATACTGCAAGTTTCGGATTGATACGTAGATAACTTTTTTAGTGACGCCGTACGTATCTGCTGATACAGACAGGTGTTAGAAATGCAGGGTGAAACCCTCTATTTTAGCCCCAATTTTTTCAAGAAATACGAATTAAAAAACAAATAAATAAATTGTGAAAATTTACAATATTTTGAAAATTCCTTGTTATAAACTAAAAATGTTATATTCAAAATATTATGGCTGTAATTGACTTTTCATAAATAAAAAAATAAAAAAAAAACAATGCCGTACATTTTCAACTAGTGGATTTTACATAGCTTATAATATTTTTCATTAAATTGTTACTACATACGGCGTTTACAAATTTCCATCAGAAATATAACAAAGAATGAAAATTGCAATGCCGTACATATTTGTCGGAACAATTCTCTGAAACTGTACTAGTCCAAAATGAGTTTTATCCTAATTTCAATAGGAATTTAATTTATATATATATAATCTAGCTCTGCGGACCTAGTAGGTCCATGGTTGACTATCTTTCTCCACTTTTTCCAACCTTTGCCTTTTCTTTCCACCTAACAATTCCCAGTTGTTAGGAATTTAATTTATACCGTAGAAATTATGATGGCATTGTCTTTAAGTTAAAAAAAAAATTGTGTATAGAGAATCGAGAAAATATTTTGAGAAATTTAGAAATTTAATGACGTGTAAGAAAGTATTATTTTTAAATAAATATAATAAAAAACAATTAATTTTAACACAATATTCATGAGAACTCCTATATAAATACTTACATTTAAAACAGCGATATAATACATGTTTTGAAGTAACAGTACCCTCGCATTTGCATATTTGCAACTTCTGTTACAATTGTTTGAACAATTTATTTATTCAAAAATTGTGAAGCCATTGGCATACAAAATATGTTTAAAATTAGTAAAAATAATTTAAAAGTGCATTTGTTGCAAAAACAACTTTAAGATTGTCGGTTATAAACATGAATAGCCAGTAGAATCTCGAATCTCGGTAATTTTAATTTTAAAATAAAAATGATTCCAAATTTTTTAAAATATATTCGAATGCAGATTTTTTTATCGATTTTTTAATAATTTTTTAGATTTTGAAAAAGTTTTACTTATGTAAGCTTTTCAAATTTATAAAATTAATAATTTTTATATCGTCCTATGGTTTTTAACGGATTATTACTTAAAAATTATTTTACATCTTAAATAATGTTTTAGCAACAATACCGACCATTTTTCAATAATCGGAAACCATAAGGGTCGGAATAGGGGTTTGCATCCGAGGTTCCTCACTCCTGTATCGACAAATACATATGTACGGCATTACTGAAAAATATTTCTATATGATATTGTAAGTCTTATTATAGAAAGGCCGTACAGTAGTAAATAATTTGTATTAAGGAGAAAATAGTAGTAAAATCAATTCTTGCAAGTATTACTTATTTGTAAATAGTTATTTTTGTATCTAGTGCGCGAAATGCTACTTTGGTGATCGAGAATTGATTTTTTTAACGAGGCGAAGCCGAGTTAAAAAATTATTCGAGACCACCAAAGTAGTTCGCGCACGAGATGCAAACAATATTTTTTCTACAACCGTCAAAATATATCTCTTAAAAATATTATAAATAAGTAAAATGCCTAATTTATTATAGAAAATAGTGTTGAGCTGGCTTAAAATGTATTTCCTAATCAAATTTTCACTGTTACTATGGAAACAAAGTGGCTGTTGTTAACAACAATAATAATTATTTTAAAGTGACGTTTGTGCTCGCGTCTTCAATTTTTAAGTGCCAGATATTATTTAAAATAATGGAAATTGCTAGTGACGATGAACTAAGTAGTACCCCACCTAATTTGGCAGATGCGGCCAATTTGGTAAGTTCAAATCTTTTACCGGAATAATTTGGAGTTTTGCTTCATTTTTTCAAAGATTGAAATACAAAACTCTTATTAATTCACATGCAGTGTGCGAAATACTTCGCACCCTAGTGCGCGAAATATTCATGGTAACGTAAGAATCCGAAAAAAAGTGTCACTTCGCATATTGTTGTCAATGCGCAAACCTTGTCATTTTTTGACGTTTGTAGAAAAAATATATTTCAAGCCATTTAGAACCTTTTTTTGTAGGCCATTTTGTTTTTGTTGATTATTGTTGTCAGTATTAACAAAATATATTAATGCCGTACAAAAATTTTTCACCCTGAAATCCTACTTTTCAGAGGGAAATTAGTTTTCCAATAGTAAGCACGTTTCATGAAAAATGTACGGCATGGCCAAAAATGTCATTATTTTATAAAATAGAATTAAAATTAGTGAATTTGATGTTGGTTCAAATCACCCCCTTACTTACAAATAGAGGGTTGCACTCTGTATCCCTAATCCCTGTATCAGCAAGTACGTAAGGCGTCGCTTAAAAATTTATCTATGTATCGATCCGAAACTTGCAGTATAAATGCCGTACCATAATAAATTACCAAAACCCGGACCAAAATTTCCGGAATATCAAAAATTTTCCTGGCTTCCGGTATTGCTATTTTTGTACGGCATTAGGTGGAGGTTAATTTTTTTTGTATAACCTATATACTTTAGAAATGCCGTACAAAAATGTTTTGACGAAAACCACCCCCCTTGGTGGACAGGTTTAGCTTACCTGACCTGTACCAACAAGAGTTGACAGCATAGTTTCTAAAGTTATTGTTATATGTGGTAGTATTGATTTATAAGTAATTCATGCTGGGTCAAATGACCCCTTGAAAATTTCCGATGGGCTTGTAATCTATAATATACCGACCTTACAAGTGGAGTTAATAAATATTAATAGAACAAAAATATACAGGGTGTTCTACAAGCTCTATGACAAACTTTGACAGATGGGTTAATTTCAAACATTCTTTTGTATATGAATATGCATAGTTCCGATTTGGTTTTGTTTATAAATTAAAAGCATTTTAAAACATATAATTTTATTTTTCAATCAAAATAATCTGATACATAAAAATGATTGTTGCTATTGAAATTATATATTTTTAAAATGCTTGTGACTTCTAAACAAAAACGAATCGGACCTATCTATGTTCTTATAAGAAAAAATGTTTGAAACTAACCCAGCTACCATCTGTCAAAATATGTCATATAACTTGTAGAACACCGTGTGTAGAGAACACAATATTTTTAGTAAAAATGAGATTTTGAAATGACGTCATTTTGTAATTTTATAATCATAGCAAATCCCAAATACATTTCTTCAACTTCACATTAACAGACAACCTTTTTTATTGCAGGTGGACCTAACAGTCTTCACGCCCCACGCCAGAACTCCTTCGGTTTCGGCGTGAACTCTTCCGTGCTCAACTCCAACCAGGTGATAACCAACACCGAGTGCTCCAATTTCATCAGGAAGCAAGTAATGCAATCCGAGATATTCCACGGGACGCCCCTAAACAACGAATACGAACTCATCCCCTTCAATCACTTCACTTACAGTCGAGTCTATCCCATAGACTTAGGTCTGGGCAAGCGAGTGGTTGAGAAACCGATAGGATACAAAAGGAAGGACCTTCTCGAGGCGCTGATGAAAGCTTTGGAGACGCTGAATAAGAACGTGACGGAGAAGATAAGCAAATACACCTTGGACGACTTCCTGGAAGGGTTGTACAGGATTGAACCAACCACCGGTACACAGTACGAGCTTTACTTTAGGACTAAGTTGTTAAATAAAAGTGACCAATCGGGATTTACTAAGGTGGTGGTGATGCGACCTTTTGCTCCTCTTCAAACTATTCAGAGCAAAAGCTTGGTAGGGCCCAAAGACAAGGAGTTGATACACATTATTCTGCCGCTTTCTGGGCGCACTGCTACATTCCAAGGCTTCATGGACAAGTTTGTCAAGATCGGTTTGAAGAATGATAGGAGGGTCCACCTTACCGTCGTGTACTTCGGAGAAGAAGGTCTTTCTGAGGCACGTTCCATTATGTCTCGCGTTCTAATGACGAAGAACAGCGGGGGGAACGCCAACAACTTGAGACTGCTAGCCTTGAACGAGACATTCTCCAGGGGTAAGGGCCTGAGGGTGGGAGCCGAGCGTGCTTGGGGCGCTGAGGGAGGCGACAAGAAGGACGTCCTTCTGTTTATGTGTGATGTGGACGTGGTGTTTAGTGCGCGGTTCCTAGACAGGTGCCGATGGAATACCAAGCCAGGGAAGAAGGTGTACTACCCCGTGGTGTTCAGCTTGTACAACCCCCACGTGGTGTATACGCTGCAGGGGAGGGAGGTGCCTCCTGAGAATGACCAGTTGGTCATATCGAGGGATACGGGATTCTGGAGGGACTTTGGATATGGAATGACATGCCAGTACCGGTAAGATAGAAATTCCATAAGGTCGGAGCATTTCTCCACAGAAATTAAATTCTTGAAGTTACATTTACTAATTCTTATCGTTTAGATTTTGTTCAAATAAAATAAAAAAAGTTTTAATATATTTTCTAAAACCTACACATTAAAATAATCAATTTTATATACTATGTGTCCCATTTTAATGGATAGGTACACGTGAATATCTCGTCAGTGAAGTGACCAATCAAAGTTCTTCAGTTCATTGGGAGAAGCGGTTGCTGACTTTGAATTTGACCTTAACCTTATTCAAGGTCAATTGAAGGTCAACCTCATAATTTTAAATGGCACTTTCTGGACCCTGGAAATAAATTCGACAGACAATTTTACATCCGGATGTGATCGCAACTTTGACCTTGGTCAAGGTCACAGCGAGTTCAAATGATTCGTCATCCCTGAAGCAACTTCATGTCGATGGGATTTTTATCAAGTGCCTCAATCATGACCTCTAGCTTCAAGGTCATTTGAAGGTCGACCTTGATGACCTCTACAAATTTTGTGAAGGATGTTTCGGTCCTAGATCGGTGATTTTGTATTTAACCTTGAATGTCATTTGAGGGTCACTTAAAGGTTGACTTTGTTTCATTTTGTGTCGGAACCTGAAAAAGCGGTAAATTCTACACCCGAGTACTTCGCAAACGAATCAGATTAAAAGTCAAATTAAAGGTGAACTCAAGATGTTACCCTGGGATACTATCGAAATGATCTCAATGGTCCACTACTAGTGGTGTGATGTGTTTAATGTTTTTTTCAGTTTTTCACCGTCGCACAGTGGGGCAGAATCCCAAAAAGCTGGCCAAAAGTCAAAAAATAATCTTATTCGGTAATTTTTACTGTTGGATTGGCTAGAGTAATATCCCAAGTCTCAGAATCCATTACTATTAGGGTCAAATTCCCTATATCTGCTTCTTAAATCACTACAAAGGCGACCGCTGCTCGAGCAACACATGGCTCGCGCGTATGAACAGAAGTAATAGTTTAAGTGGTTATAAAATTTCGTAGAGTTCACCGATTTATCTTTAACAAAATCGAATCAACTCATAAATGTACGTAGATTATGAATATGTAGGTTAAAATACTCAATATTTTTTACAAAAAATAGTAATTGGCTACCAAACTTATGTGAATTTTACGTTATAAAATGAAATAATAATTTAGTTTTGAAGAAAAAAGTTTAATAATTCTACAGAATTCTGACATTTAACTTATTGGACAAAAAAGACAAAACTATTATCTGTAAACTAAAAAAAAAAATCAGCTGCCTATAAGTGCCTAACAACTTTTTTGTATGTTTTTGTAAAATGTAGAGTAGAATGAATTTCGCCTTCTCTGGACGATGTAAGACATGGGAAGATTGCAGATAAAGACGAAATTGTCTCAACTTCAGAAGATTCGACGGGTATTACAAATGAAGGTTTTTCATCTGATGATGATTTTTTTCTTTTATGAAAAAACTGGAATTTTATATTACAACTTTGGCACGGGATTCAAACAAATTACTCCCCATACTTATTTAACCAAATATATGAATAGTCCAATGTCATTTGTCATTTTTACATCTTCTTCATGCTCGATAAATGTGAAATTTTGTATTTCATAATCTTTTAATTCTTAATCTACTCGGAAAATCCCTATTTACAAAATATTTCTACTTCTGATATGGCTATATTAAATATTCCACATTGAATTTTGTAATTGTGACTCCAAATTCGTCATCAGCGACCCCAAAAACCCCCCGAGTAACAAATTTCAGATCGATTTTTACAAATTTTGACTTTTGGCCAGCTTTTTGGGATTCTGCCCCACTGTGCGTCGGTAGCGTGACCTCATGTACACCACAAGGAGGTTGCAAATGAACTTTTAATTAATTTGACCTCTTATTACTTTGCAATGTACTCGGGTGTAGAATTTACCGCTTTTCCAGAATCCAGCTTAAGAAATACAGGTACCGACATAAAAAAAAGTCAACCTTCAGATAACCTTCCGATTAAATTCAGGATCATCGATCCATCCTTAAAACATTTGTAGAGGTCATCAAGGTCGACTTATATAGTCGACGTTCAAATGACCTTAAAGAACAATGTCAAGATTAATTCCAAGGTAATTATCTGATACCTTGATGAAAATCCCGTCGACTCTACTAAGGGCACACACCTTTTTCCGAGGCTGACGAATCATTTGAACTTGCTATGACCTTTATCTTGGCCTCAAGGTCAAAGTTGAGATCACATCTGGGCATAAAATTTTCTGCCGAATTCATTCCCAGGAGAAAAAATAAAGGGATTCGTTTAAAATTAAGTTGACCTTCAATTGACCTTTAAGATCATGGTTAAGGTGAAAGGTGTCGATTAAAATGGGACACATGGTATCAGTGATGAGCCCATCTGATACTTTTCAACAAAAAAATAGATTACAACAATAAATAATTTTTTTTCATATGCGTCAGAAAACATATTTGTTATAATAAATCTCTTTTGTAATGCCGATTCCAGACATATTCAATCAGAATGTTAAAAGTATAATAAAAAGCTTCATCTTCGACACGTATAGGTTTTATGAGACATGCAATATAATTTTTAGTGTCACAGTCGCATTAACATTTTGCTATATCCCCTACGAAATAGGAATATCCGAGAAGTATTCCAGTCGAAAGTTGAGCCGTAACTTGCTGCAGTTCTCTTACGGCATATCATTAAAACTTTACCCTTGTTAGAAACTGAACGTAAACGTAAATTTGCAACTTTTCCGCACAATTAAAATTTACAAATCTCCCGTATAAATACTTCATTTGCAGGAAGCTTCCGTTGCGGAAAAAATCGTAACCGTTCCGTTAGGAAATGCATAAAATTTCACCTGGAAAACGTTCCGCAGATATAGAAAGAATATATGAAGCTGGAAACATATTTCATTGTTATGTTAAACTAATGCAGAGTCGGTATTATTTTGTTATTATAATTCAATCCGGAACTTATGGAATAAAAATTTATGTCTATGCAGATTTTATGTATTTATTCAAAACGTTCATGGAGTTGCGGGGTGCATATAAATATTTTCAAAATTTAAAAAAATGTAAAAGGAAATTCACGAGATGTATTTTTTGCGACTTCAAAGCGATATTTAGAGCGTCAATTGCGTTTCAAAGGTTACAAACCAAACTTGTATTATGGTGTTACTTTTACAGTCATACGATTAATTTTTTCTAACGAGCGTTCAAATAAAAACGTGGTCAAGTCGGTTCTGAAAATTTGGACGTAGGGCGTAGCGTATAGCAAATGAACTTAAACGTCATCTGTCAAAGAGCTATATCGCCGCTAGCAATTTGAATATTTTCGTTTTAAAAAGCGTTTAAAATGGTGTTTTCTCAAGAACAAAAAGTGTTTATCATAGAGTCCAACTTTAGAAATGGACGCAAGATTGATGGAATATGGAAGTATTCTATTGAGGAATGTTTCATAGAATTTCAAAATCAATTTCCCGGCGTTGTTGAGTACAAAATTTTTCAAAGTGCAGTTCAGCGTTGTGTTAATGTTTTTCGTGAAACGGGCAGTGTAACAAGAAAAGAAGGAAGCGGCCGACCTAAAAAGCGGACTGAAGAATTAAAAGAAAATGTCCAACAAATAATGGAAAATGCGCCAAGAACTTCTGTACGTGTTTTATCACAAATGGTGGGAGTATCAGTCGGTACCTGCCACACAGTGTTAAAAAAAGATTTGCGTTTGTTCTCCTATCGTTTAACTTGTCAGCAAGAACTTCATGAAGTTGATTTTCCGCGACGGGCTGTATTTTGTGAATGGTTTTTAAACAACTACGGTGAACTTCATAATATCACCTTTTTTTCTGATGAAGCCTGGTTTCATTTAAGTGGTTACGTAAACTCACAGAATATGAGAATGTGGTCTTCTGAAAAACCAGATAACTTTTTTGTCGAGGGCCCTCTACACGCTCAAAAAATTGGAGTTTGGTGTGCTCTCAATCGAAGGAGGATTTATGGACCTATTTTTTTTAATGGTACTCTTACTGCGCAAAGGTATAGAGAAGAAATTATCGCTCCTTTTGTTAACCAGCTGGAAGAAAACGAAATTACAAACTTTTACTTTCAACAAGATGGCGCAAGGGCACATACGGCAGGCGAGACGATGAATATGTTGAGGGAAGTTTTCCAAAATCGACTAATAAGTCTCAATGCTGAACATGAATTTCCACCGAGGTCATGTGATATTACGCCGTGTGATTTCTTTTTGTGGCCTTACCTTAAAAACACTATTTTTGAACTGCCTATTCCTGATTTAAACCATCTGCAGGCTCGACTTATAGACAAGATTCGTGAAATTAACAATACCCCGAGCATCTTAGAAAATGTCTTTAATTCTTTGAGGAACAGGTGTGAAAAGTGCTTGGAACAAGGAGGGGGACACTTTCAGCAGCTGCTTTAATTTATTGTTATAACAAGGAGGGGGACACTTTCCGCAGCTCCTTTAATTGTTTGTTATTGTTATCACGATTATTCTTTAAAATAAAGTTATATAGTCATTAACGTTATTGAAACTGACAGCTGCTATACAGCTCGTTGAGAAATGAGGTTAAGTTGGTCACTATAAGCTACTCCCTACGTCCAATGTGTCAGAGCCAACTTCGACCACGTTTTTATTTGAACGCTCGTTATAAACATTTCACAAAAGCTACTGTTATTATTGAAATATTCTACTCATAATACTACTTTGCGGCCATCATCAGCAGAACTGATTCAGCCCGTTATAAGTAGGAAAGAATTGATTTTCGGACCCAAGTACTGTGGATCACAAAATCGATATCTTGATTCGTTATACTGCGATTTCATTTTTCGTAGATAGTGTTTTTGTGATGCTGAATAACTTTTTTGGTTGTGTAAATATTTGATTTTTGTAAGTGTTTTTTGTGCAGTTTTTTTGCATGGTATACGATATATTCCAACATTTCAGTCATATTTCAAACTTATATACAGTGTGTATCTGCCAAATAGAATAAATTCAATAATAAATAAATGGGGGCGTGTTCGAAAAAACGCTCAGACCCGTCGATTGGTATTTTCAGTTCCATTTGACTGATACACACTGTACACTTATATGTAATAAAATTTTCGATTTTTGAAATCTAGTAAAATAAAACCAACATCATTGAAATACATTAAAAATAAATTGTTCAGTTTCATTTTTATACCAGATTTTCGGTTTACTTCTGGTCCATCTGACCTGTTCATTCTATAAATAATTATGGGAAACAGTTCAAAGACCTATTTTTTTATGATAAACTTTATTGTTCGGAGGTATCTTTACATTTAGAATGACATTCAAGGGGAAACAGAAAGACAGAAATTTACATGAACATGAAAACGTAAAAATGCTTTTTACCAGTTATCTATTTATGTGGAATATGCGATCTTGTGGAATTTCTTGCGCTGTTACCCAACCATAAAAAGCCCTTTCCAATTTTAGCTGTCACATGCCTCTTCTCAACAAAGTAATGATACATAACCTATCGGAAAATGTACCTAGAGTATCTTCCGAAACTTTATCAGTTTATTTTTTAAAAATATACTAAAAATGTGATATATATTGGGAGGACGATGTCAGCTATGTCTCTTGTAAAAAAATCGCCATTTCGAAAAAAAATTTAGATAAATTTGTTTACTTCATTTAAAAATGAGTTATTGTTAATGACAGCAAATGCTTTTGTTTGGTTATCAAAGCACGGCTACTTGATTTTAGGAATTCGATTTTTATCTTCCGCATTTTTAAAACACATTGAAACATTTTAATAATATAATCTTAAAATTTATCGTAAATAATTAAGGTAGAACAGGAATGAATTAGGTATAGTATGAAGCTACAATTTAATATAAACGATATTATTCGATTAATGGTTCCTGTATATCCATATTTTTTTATGAACCATTTTCCTGAAAATACGTTAGTATGCTTTGTGTGGTAAAATTATAGTAAAATCTAAAAAAAAACGATTATTTCCCAGAATAGTCAGTGGCGCAACATTTCTTTTTAAAGATTCACCATACTGCTGATTGCACATCTCTGACTTTTAGTATTCTGCTGGTACCTCACAGGAGAATAGCAAATGATAGTGACATTTACTACATCAAATTTCAAAACAATGCATTCAGCAGTTCTGGAAATAAAAAAAGTTTGGATTATAAGAAAAGTTCCTGTCAATTTTTTTACACCTAATTATGACTCACCCAGTATATATTATATTTCTGCATTTACAGCCAAATAGTCTCAAAATCCATCAATGTAATCGACTCGACGAATCCTTACAAAAAATGCCGAATACGATTTAAAACACAAAACAAAATTACGATTTGTTGCAGGTCTGACTTCCTAAAGGTCCGGGGCTTTGACGAAGACATAGTGGGCTGGGGAGGCGAAGACGTTATGCTCTACAGGAAATACGTCCGGAGCAGCATGAAGGTCATAAGAGCAACAGACCCAGGAATATTTCACATATGGCATCCCAAGGTTAGTAATTTGAAATATCACTCCAGATAAGGGTCGCCTTGCGTTATATTCCGGATTCTCCCTGTCGTATCTCCGTTGTTTCTTCCGTTCCGGGCTATTTATTATATAAACTGATAGTGTGTAACAGGAAATAGGTCGGTTGTCTTATTGATGAGCAAACATAGAAGGGGAGGAATTAGAAACAGAGGAAAAATTCTACGTAGAAACGACGTAGCGACAATTCCAACGATAGTGGTTAGTTTTTGTTCAAATTCTACATGTCTCTATGTAAGAAGAAGTAAAAGAAAAATTTGGTAACGACCCACCATCGAACAATTTTCAATTCTAATATGGTTAAAGATTTTAAATGTTTCATGTTTCAAAAATGAATAGTTATTATTATTTACACCATAAAGGAGGTAAGTTTTACCAGTCGAGGACAATTTTGCGCCCGAGCGGAGCGAGAGTCCGAGACTGGTAAATTATACTTAACCGCTGCGTGATGTATAACATTTTATCTGCTGCCACAGTTCTGTATGATATTATTGCCCGAGAAGTGGAAAGTGCGCTACGGACGGGCGTATAGAAATTTCAAAGAATGGTGCCAGAACAAAAATACTTTTGTTTCTGAAATGTCACTGTTAGCATATTTCATGGGGAAGTCAAGAACTTTAAAGTCACCGGCGAGTTTGTGGTCTCAATGATTTAGTCAACTATTTTCATAGAGAACGTGGATATAGCAAAATACTGAGAGCAATTTTGAAACGTAAGAATGACGGCTATACACTTAAAAAGTCAAACGTTTGTACAAGAGAACAAGTCAACGATTTTCTCGTTCAGCTGAAATTTCACGCTTTTTAATGCGCTATCAAGCAGGTAGATACAACAACCAACCAGTCGGCAAGAATACCCTTTCTATGATGCCTAATGAGATTGCACAGTTTTTCAAACTAGAACATCCTGAAATGTATACAGGCCATTCATTGCGAAGAACATCGGCAACGTTACTGGCTAATACAGGAGTAGATGTATTAGCAATCAAGAGACATGGTGGGTGGAAATCAGCCACAATTGCAGAAAGTTATATTGCTGACAGTTTAAGTAACAAAAATTAAATAGCCAACAGGATTCTTTACAAAAACACTTCAACTCCAGGGGAATAATTATCCAAATTTTATAAAAATGTTACTAAATGTAATACCTGTACAATTTCTATAAATATTAATTCATAATAATTAATAAAATGTAGTGTTCATCATTTATAACTCGAAATCGCTCTTTTCCCTAGGGAGGTAAGTTACCTCACTTACATCCCGTTGTCCGTAGCAACTTCCACTTCTACGGTAAAATCCACTTACCTCCTTAAAAAACACTGTATTAAATAGTCTATTTACTACAGTGGGAACAGATAAATGTATTTTTCCATGAAACAAAACTAGATATTAACAAACGACCCTCAGGAAAAAACCTGGATTGTTCACCGGCACGCCAGGCCAACAGGGCAGGCATTAGGGTGTCGCTAGATACGTATCGAATAAATTGATCGATGCGAAGCTTTAGATTAGAGACAGACATGTATGTTATTCTACAATGACGTGGATATTGAGATTACTAAAATGTGAAGTAGTTGATGCTTCACCATTAGTAAAAATAGTATCTATTGAAAACTTCGACAATTTTAGACATGCGCTTGTGATTTCCGTATTTGTCGTGCTCCTTTTTGTTTCATACTATTATGCAAATACTTATATATACAGTTTTATAATGTAAAGAGTGCAATTACAAAAAGGCATCGGTTGTGTCACTTTTTGGTTGAATAAAATTGCATAAAAGAGAATCTAATATCTACACATAACAAACATATCATCGTTGTCAGAAAAATACGCTCAATTCAGAAACGTGAAAATCCAATATGGCGCCCAAAAAAAAGGTATAACATTTACCTTGATTATCTTGTAAATAATCACTTAATATTAAATTAAAGACAATGTTAATATAACACTAGATTTTTTTGTCTATCTTTCGTAACCAAAATAGACCGGCCTAAAAGCGAAATTTCCACGAGACGCCTTTTCTTCGAGGCGAGGAAATCAATTTCCTCCTTCCACAGGCGTTCGCTCAGATACCCTTTATGAGGTGTCACTTCAGATATCTTTGCTCGACAGTGTTGATATAAGTAATTAGTTCTTGACAAATTCGTCCAAAATAAATATTTTAACAAGTTCTTACACTTTCAGTTATACCCAAAGCAAAAAGTCACAAACAGATATCTTCTTAACGAGAAACTGCCAAAGGGGATCGATCTGATATTTTAAAACTTCATCAATTGTGTTCCTTTGCACCTAATCTGATAATCCCGGCTCTGCGTGGAATTGTAAATTAGATCCTCCTTTTCAAGTCGCCGAATCTCAAATTAGATAAGAAATTTCGCGCTCCCTTACGATGCTGCACAACCTCAGCATCAGCGGATATGAATTGTCAATCTGCTTAAACAGCAGTAAAAGAAAAAAAGCTGAAGACCCGATTAAGTTTAAAAATGTAATCAAATGAAGAAAAACGATATCCGAGCTGTTCCGACACATAGCCACTGCGCATCAGTCCTTCACCGGCCAGATGAAAGTTGGATTCAACGTGGATATTTAAATTTACTTGTTAGCATTAATTTTTTATTCAATTTATTTTTTCCAGGTGTGCTCCGGCAATCTCGGAGGGCAAAAACTGTCAGCCGACCAGTACAGGGCGTGCATCAGGTCCAGGGCCCTGAACGAAGCTTCGCACGCCCAGCTGGGCTTCCTCGCTTTCAGAGACGACATAGCCGCAAACAGTAGCCCCGCCAAGTACCCTTCGCATAACCTGAAATCGCTGAAAACTTCCCCGAAAAAGAACAAACTTCCCACCTAAGATTAGTGAGTTTTATTTTTAGAACCGTATGAGTTTCAAGTAATTGGACAATCTGACACCGCTTGTGAATACCGAAACTGTTAATAAAGGTGCTATGTATTTGGGTTTCAAAAAGTGTACTGCTTGTTTTTGGAACAGACCATGTTTTAGAGTGAATTGGTAACTTCTCTACCTCCATAATAACATTCTATCGGATAAGGATGCCTCGAAAATGTTTCTTTCCAATATTTTAAACATTTCGATGGCTGTTATTTTATTACATTAGATCTAGATTGAAATTGCACTCGAATCAACTCTTTAATAAAGAACACAGACACTACGAATTTCTTTGAATGCCTTTTGGACTACAAAACGCACCAAATGCTTTACAAAGAATGATCAATAAGTTTTTCGTAAACATATCAATAAAATTTGATTTGTTTATTTGGATGACATTATTTTTCAAGATTTCCCAAGCCTTAGGAAACGCAAAGTAAAAATTTAGTGAGATAAATCAGATATCCTTAGAAAACCATTGAATTTTTAGAACACTTTGCCACTCCTGATGGAATTTCACAAAGTTTTTGTGAGGATGTTATGGAAAATTATCTAATTATAATTCTCACCACACGTCACTCCACTTTCCAATTAAAGTTGCATGCATACAAGCAAATTCCTTGAAAATTATCCGTAATTTTCGTGCATTTATATTGTTTCGGTGTCAAGAGTACAATTTATTTTTCGCAATATTTCGAGATGGATGTATTTAAAGAATGGGTAAAATATAACGCGTACAGAAATGATAAAGTAGATGGCAATTTCTAATCTAGCCAGCGGCGTAAGGCCGCTGGAAATATTTTAGTGAGGAAACCGTGAGAGGCTATATAAGTAACTAAATTTTCGAGGATAAATTTCCATTACAACTTTTAAAGCTTCTAACAATCCTTTTGCCTCGGGTGCTCCATATTATTTAAAATTTAATCCTTCCCGTCGTGCAGAAAATTGAATAAAGCAAAACGCACACCTATTTGACTAAGAATATTTAAATGAAAACAAATATTTGTTCAAAGTTTTATTCGATAACGTTGAAAATTAATGAATATTAATCCATTTAAAAAATATTACTGGGAATATTGAAGTCTTCCCTTTGCGCCTTTTTAGTAAATTTTAACGTATTTTTTCTGAGCAGCCGGACTATTTCAGGAAATATTAAAATATACCTTTATCTTTAATTACATAAATACCTGATATGTGAAAAATAATAAAAGGAATAATAGAATTTGCTTGAAAATATTTATTTATGACATTTTTTAAGTAGTTATACACATCATTAAGAAATAGACCTTTTCCTTTTAATGATATGACGTGTAGCAAACTGTTTATAATTGTCTGCACACACCTTTAGTAAGTCGATACATTCATGGTTAACAGTTTAATTTTTATAAACATTAACGAAGCCATTTTGCATTCGTTCACTTAAAAAACGTGTTCTGTTCCAAAATCACTCTGTCACTTAGAATAGACATGCACAGGACGGTATTAAGGTTAATATTTGTGATTCGATAATGCCGAAATTCCAAAAAAAGTGATTTTATTGTTGTTATTTTGTTACTTTTATTACCAAGTTTAATTTATTGTTAGACTTAATTCTAAGACTGTTGAATGGCCACATCGAAAATAGGTATGCATTGAAAATCATTTAAGTGGGCTAGGTTCAGAAAATAGATCTTTAAGTTAATAAGTTCAATTATGAAATCCTGAACTGAACTGAATCCTGAAGGAGTGATAATTTTTTGGGTATTTACTTAATATGTAATTACCACGACAGTCCCAAAAGGATTTTGATTATCTTTGGCTTCTTTTTATTAGTACAGTTCAAATTCAGTCGATTGGAAAGAAACCAGTTCTGAATCTTAAGTTCCATTAAATCATCAATTATTGGACTGGCGTTAATGAGGTTTCACCTCAATAAGCCTGACTAACCTCACTTGGGAATGCGATTTAACTAATTAAAGGCAAACATTTACTGAAATGGTATACAACTAGGTCAACTAGTGGAGATGGAGATACAGGGAGACATCGTCAATGAAATCGCCAGGATTTCTACGCTCCTGATTTTTAAGGAAACTTATTAGAGGTTCTCTAATTCTCGATATTGTTAAGATAGAAAATTGAATCTCTGTCAGAGTCATACTGCTGCAATCAAAAAAAGTCTTAGCTGTTTTATAAAGAAACGTCTGCATTTTGTTCGTCGTTGTCCGTTATACTTGAAAATAGCCAGGTATGACAAAGCACAGTTAACGCAGTTCAGCAAATTATAAACAGTTGAACAGTTGAAAATTTAAAAAATTAATCTCTGCAGCTGACTATCTTTCTGTGAGAATGACGTCGTTAAGTACGAGCATTTACAAAAATTTTCTAGCATCTTGTGTAAATGTAATGTATATACCCTTTTAAAAAGTTAGGGAGAACTAATGAGCCGAAAAAAGTATGAAAATAACTTTCCTTAAGCCGTTGACGCAGCATATCATAAATTAATAATAACTAGAGTGCTACAAGTAATTATCGTTTAGTTCTCCTTCTTTACAGTCAAGGTCCTGCATACTTCAATAAAATTGATCCCTAAAAGTTTATTGAAAACTAAGTAATATAATTTATCTAACCTGTTTGGTTCTGAAAACAAAATGTATTTTTATGATGAAGTTACAAGAACGCAAATTGGTCTGCAAAAATATGGAGCGTAACTACAATGTTTAACCAAACTTTAGACAGCGACATTAGGCCACAAATAAATAAATGAAATCATTGAACAAGTATATGACAACGCTGCGTTTTGGACATACAGGGTGTAAAAGAAATAAATAATAATAATAACAATAATACAAGCTGTTTAAAAAAATATTTTCAATTAGATTAGTTTGTGTCATTTATATATTCGAATGCCACTCGATCTATTGAGTTCAAATTTCTGGATTATGTTCGATACATTACTGGAAAGGTTTAGAAAGTAATTTGAGCAATTGTTAATAGGTGGCGCTGCAAAGCGTACTTTATATGTATATGCATTACTCCCTAAATTTTTCAGTAACAAAATTTATATTCTATTTGGACGATTTTGTCTGTTTAAAATTACGAAGATTCTAATTTTCTTAATCTAGCCTACTAAAAGAAACCTAGAATATATTTTTTGTGATGGTTTTAAACGTAGATAACCTAGTCATACATATATAAGGCTTTATATATTTAATAGTAAAATTGTGGATGAAAGCGTTTAGTCTTTGAATTTATCTTGAAAACGTCCGGGATGTGTGAAGATATCAGTAAATTTAAGTAAAATATGTGAGCCATTTTTAATAAAGACATAAAAATAATTATGTAGTTTTTTCTCCCAGGTATCTATTCTACATTTCTAAGCTGCTTTCAAATAAACTTCGGAGCAATGAACAGTCAATAATAGATGTAATAACAATCACTCCTTTTTTTCTTCATCCTTTAGAAAAATTAAATTATTTGCTTAATTTTTCTCTTGACAATTAAAACGTTGTTTCTATTCTAAGTTAAAATAAAATTTTCTTCGAGCTTCTTACAAGCAAAACATATTTCCTTTCAAGAAAATTATTTATTTATTTAAATACTTTAAATTTCTACCCAGAAATATAATTTCTTACTTTAAAATTAGGCAGCATTTAAAATAAATATTTGATACTTACGGTTAAACGAATTCTATTCTTAATTTTATAATCTACATAGATTTTATAGAAACACGTTTTGTATTGTATATTAATGTATCGTTTGTTTAATACAAATTTGAATAGTTGTTTATATTTCTCAGTAATAAAAAATATTTTGTTTCAAACTCACAACACCTAGTACAACAACAATACTTTAACCAACCAGACATAGGTCGGTTTGGGACTTATTGATGGTCCTCATCATTATGTCGTTGGAACGATCCAGCTGCTTTAGTGTCGTTACTCACAAGGAGATGTGTATACACAGAGCGTAAGTGCTCTCCATCTATCGTGCTACTTCTCACCTACGCCATTCTGTGACCTACAATTTTCTTGCAAGAAAACAAGTTTCACATAGTTTGACGAAAGTATATACATTTGAATAGAATAAAATGACATTTACGGCAAATAATTCCATTTAAATCTATCCAAATACTTTTTTTTCAGTGTACATGTGATTAGTTTACTGTTGCAAATTTATAGTCCTTCATTTAAGCATTTCTCAATCTTTAAGATAATTTTTTTTGTAGTCAAGTTAGATCTCCCAGTTTCCCATCAATATTCTAAGAATCCATGAAAGCAGTGAAAAGGCTTTTAAAAAATCATCCTGCAATTTCTAGGGAACCCAAGATAGATCCTTTCATATTTCTTGTTTGTGCATAGGTGTGTACCGTCAAAGAGACATTTGAACGTCTAACTGACCAACATTTCCCTGGGTTAGCCTTATATCCCCAGGTGTTTTTCCCGGTGGCAAGTTCTGCTGCAGATTGGAAGAAAGTTTCCTCATTATTACTCATGAGAGAATCAACCAGGCGGATTGGATGGTCTTGGATTAGATTTCCCGCTCTTCTACAACATACCATCCATATACTGTATCATTTGCTACTGTCCGAACGACGACGACGACGACGAAGACGATGATGATGATGATGATGAGGACGACGACAGCTCACAAAAATTGACACATACAATGGCATTTGAAGTAGCTATTGTAGAATACCCGCCGTGGAATTGAATAATTCCCCCGATTTGCTAACAAATGTAAACGGGAAGGCTGAAACTCGCTCGTCTCGCTGCGACCTAAATAAAACAGGAAATTATTGCATCTTAAAGTATCCAGAAGAACTCATCGCCAATCTGACGTGATTCATTCCGGGCAAAATGCCCGGCTGCAAACTCCATGTAATATTCATTAAAACGTGTTCGTGTACCGAATGAATATTCCAGTGGAAGCTGAAACATAACTTATTTAAACTAATCCTTTCTGCTGTGTAAAATATTAACGCTACAGGATAAAACAAAGTAGGAACAAGAAGTTATATCTTGGGATTACTTTGCTCCTCCAGAGAAAGGTAAGTTAGGCATTTAAATTATATCCTGTTGTGACAGTTTTCTTAAAAGTTTTGTCGCCTGATTATCGGGAAAGTGGTACGAGTTATGCCGTAGATTTATACATGTCTGTTAAGGATAAGGCATAAAATATATTCTTACAGAATTATAGAATAGTGAAACTTAGGTAGTTTAACATTT